TGCCTCTGCTCTGGTTGTTCGTAGAGTGGAGCAAACAATAAAGACTTGTTGAAGATGAATCGTCTCAAGCGCCATTATTCCCAGGACTTAACAATCAGTATTTAGAAAAGCTTTATCATCAACACATTTCAATATGATATCCAGACCAGTACTGGAAAAGCGATTTAAGAAACGTAGCCAGCTTTGTCTGCACAAGCTAGAGGCACTATATAAATCAGTCTTCTTATAGTGTGTGCTTTTAACCATGATAACTGCATATTTTATAAATTTTCTTTCAGTCAAGTTCCTAAGCCACACATGTTTATTTTATTTTCACTAATTATTATCCAATCAGAATAACACAATATTGTATTTTTCAATGTTGTGCAATTTTGTTCCATTGAGTACAGTGCATATCAAGAATTTATTACTGTTTCTTAATTTTTAATTCTGTCACTTTATTATTGTTCTGCTTTATTGCTGAGTTTTGTTTTATTGTCTTATTGTTTTACTACTTGTTTTATTGACATTTTCTAGTTGTTGGCCATAATAAAGAATGTCAAACTACTGTCATAATCTCAGAATCTTATAATACTTACCGGAAGACCTGAGTCTCCTTCTAGACCAGGTTCACCCACCGGTCCAGGAGCACCTTGAGGTCCCTGTAAATGAAAATATTTTTTTTTCCAAAATAATAATTGTGCTTTCTTTTATTTTACTGATAGCTAATTTTATTATAGAAATTTATCTATCCCAATGTTACTTACAATGAAGCCAATCAAGCCCGGGTCACCAGGATTTCCCTAGAGAAGAACAATTTAAAATGGGAAATGCTCTTTTAGTCAACTTGAATATAAACTTTTCTATACTACTAAAATTCTCATTCCTGTAACCTTAAACTGTGATGCAAAATGGTGCATCACAGGGCAACAATTTTTAAATCAAGATACCTCAAATGGGCTGATTTACAGAATGTGAACAAAATCCAGGAGCCATTATTACCATGGAATTGAAATTTGACAAATTTCATAAAACATTTTATGGCATAAAAATTATCATAAAACAGTTTATGACATAAAATAAAATGTCCTTTTTTGATGCTTGATTGTGCTTTACAGTTCAACATGGGCTATTTTCAAGGCAGATGCATCTCTGAAGATATCCCAACTTTTCCAGTGAATACAGTACATTAAGTGCTCTGTGATTGTTGAAGGAATTATGGAATCTGGTAAGGAATTATTTCTAAAACTCTCAGATGTCCACAAATAGCACTGTGTAGATTTCTTACAAAAAAACTCTATGATTATTTGTAAAATCTGAAAGTTAAAAGTGAATAGAAAAATCAGTACAACGTAAATACAATGAAATCTATATTTATAACTAAAAGAAAAAAAGTTATTTGTGTATGTTTGTGTGTGTTGTATGTATATATACACACATACACTTATGCACAGACCTAATGGAAGAATCATATCTGCTTCACTTTGTTTTGACTCAGCAACTTCAAAGAGCATACAGACATGCTTCTATTTAAACTAAAAAAACTTGCTTGTGTTTTATAAATGAAAACCACAATGTGGCTGCTTATTTATGATAGCTAAATAATAAATCTAAGAAAAAATATAGCAAAACTTTAACTTAGCCCAGTGGTTCTCAACCTTTTTAATGCCACGACCCCAACCGGTCGTAAGTCGAGGACTAAACCGATCGTAAGTCGAGGACTAAACCGGTCGTAAGTCGAGGACTAAACGGGTCATAAGTCGAGGACTACCCAACCGGTCGTAAGTCGAGGACTTTCCCTGCCCGGGAGTGCCGCGCATGCATGGTTCTGCCCCCTGCGCCGGCCGAGGCGTAGCTGGCAAGCGGCAGAGACAGAGCAGGCCGACCACCAGCTGGCCCAGCCCAAGGGAGGTAAGGCACCCGCCGGAAAAGGGGGGGAAAATGGCGGACAAAAATAATGGCGGACAGCCTTGCTTGGCGACCCCCATGAAATGGTCAATCGACCCCAAATGGGGTCCCGACCCACAGGTTGAGAACCACTGACTTAGCCTCTGCAAGACTGTATTTGATAAAGTATAAAAGAAGCTGAAAAAAATAGGAAAATTATAGTTTTTCACTTATATGAAAACATCTGAGGCACTTAATTGAAGATGATCAGAAAAACATACTTTTCTAACAGATTATAACTGTTCACAGAGACTTACCCTGAACTGTATAGCTAATTCTTCAGGTAATGCAAAAGGCTCCCCCTTCTGACCTTTGGGTCCCTGGATTCCCTAAAGTGATTGAAAATAAAAAATTTCAGCCATTTGTCCAGAATTGTCTGAGGATTCCTGCACTAAACTGGGTGTTGGACTAAAAGAACCCCAAATTCACTTCCAACATATCATTCTCTTTCTTGAGGATTTTACAGGACTATCTCAAATGCTGGGTATAAGCAGAATTTTTCTACTACTTTGGAGGTTGGGGATCATTAAGACAACTTTAGGGTTTACATCATAATTTATATGTGATTCCTGAAAATATGAATGGCAGTTAGCAATTGAAATTATTCCAAGGATTAATTATGAAAAAAATAACATAAAATTCACTGACACTACAAAAGAGAGGTTGAAGGATCATGTGAGGTGCTGGTAATGCAGATTGCTCTGTGCTTATTCTAAACCATCCAAATGAGAAGAGAGTGGAAAAAACTGGGCTGTGTAGAGCCCATTTCCAAACTGAAAAACCTGCAGTAAATTAGAGATTGGCAACATCACTTTTAGGGTCCAGATTATGTTCCCTTGAAAACAATGACTGAAAAAGAGGAAAACATTTCCCCATTATTATGAGATCAGATATAGTCTTTTCTTCCAGTACAAACTTTCAGTTGTATCCCCTGCCACACCACAATAATCAGCCCAACTAGGATGTACCACTTACAGGGCACTTCACAGACTTAGTCAGCAATTCCATGGCTCTTCTTGTGGGTTCCCTATGAACTTATAGGCACAACTGGTCACATTTCTAATGTCCTTGCAACTGAAGCACACCTAGGCAGGCAAATCCAGGAATCCAGAGATGGTGTCTCACAACTTGTGCTGGCTAACTAACCAATACAAGTAACCCCTATTTATATTTTTTTTCAGCATCATTTATCTTTTCCATGTCCACTGACAGTAGCAACATTTATATTTTATGCAGTTCATGTTCAAGAGGTTTATATATATATATATATATATATATATATATATATATATATATATATATATATATATATATATATATATATATATATATATATATATATATATATATAT